ACATATTATCCTAATCAAAGCAATACATTAAGACATCAAAATTTTCCTCCTCTTCTCCTTTTACCAAACAATTGGTTCTCTCCTTTTTACCTGCTTTTGTGGATACAGAATCACTACTTTTCATTGACAAAAGCAGCTACCACTGCCACGGCTGAAGCTTGGGCATGTTTATTTAACTTAATGTCTTTCCTTGTCTTCTATAAACACACTTGTCACCTCCAGCCGCAACCATCAGTTTTATAACAAAGTCATTAGTCATAAGTAGCAGGAATAGCCTTGACCTACTTTTAACGTCAACAATGACAAAATGACCACATCACTTGTAAACAACCACTCACTGGTAGTTTTAGCCTTAACACGCGTTATGCACGGAAAAACCACTAACCTTCACAGTAACATCTGATGTTTGAAGTTCATCCAACTTCAGCTGCAGTTTCACTTTTTCTGTGTTTGCTTCTGTAAGCTTTTCATTTAAGCGTTTAACATCCTCTGTGGAAAGCGAAACCAATATTTGAAAAATGCTAATTGCAGAATTAACTGTAGAACTATCAGTTTTCATTACTGCCCAAATTCAAATAAGTTCTAAAGAATGAGGACAAATGACACAAAGTATATAATTGTATACTGTAAAACGATATATTGTTTGATTTTTTTTGTAAATGTAAAATCATATCATGTACATTTGTTATCAGACTGTTGCGAGACATTTTGTTTTTTCCAATTACCATAAAACTTTCTGCTTTGCTTCCTTTTGTCTAGTTTTCCAATCCATTTTCTGGAACTGCCTATACTGACTGGATATTCCATACTTGTAAAATTGTTCAGGTAAGTCTTCTACTTAGAATAATTGTGTGAACCAATTTGTTAATATATTCTTGGTTATACCATTCAAATGCTCAACTTCCTGAGATCGTCTTTCACTTGTTCGAACCAAATCTCTCTTCTCAGCTTCCAGTTCTTCTTTTTCTCTACCTAAATGGCTCTGAAAAGATTAAAAAAAAGTAATAAAGAAATGTGATCAGCTTTCTATGAGAGATTAGTCACTATTTACATTTATCATCACAGAGAGGTGTGTTAAATGCTATCCCCTCCAATGTCAGCGAATGAAAACTGGGATAAGAGGCTTCTATGATGGACAACTGAATCAGTCTAAACTACATAACATGAAACTATGGCTGAGTCCAATGTTTCTGTCACACTGGGAACAAGTCAAACAACTGCAAGTTAACACATTTTTCTTCTAGTGCATAATAAATAACAGGTTTCAATTTTTATTTTTTTTCCCATAAATCATTCTGCTATTCATGTCCAACAGGACTTATGTCCTTAAACACAAAATGTCTAATATCAGACAGTAAAGCAGAGAAAGCATCATCACACAACTTCCAACAGCAGCATAGGTAGAGTCCATGCCTTTGCCTTTTAACTGGGATATAGAGATCCAGACTGCCACAGGATTATAGCTGTATGCAAACGAAGACTAGAATGGAAATTTTTGTACATAAAGCAGATGAAATCAACAAAAGGGCCAGTAGAAATACAAAAGAAACAACAAAAAGAACTGTCTAGAACAATATGTAATTATAACGTACTTTGCAGGACAGCTTTGTTAGCTACGGAGTTCATTGAAACAGTTTTATTTCGTTAAACAAAAGATAACAGATTAATCAAGGAATGAACACACATAAAAGAAAAAAATGGAGCCCGAACTGAATACCCTTGCATGATTTACAAGCCAAAGCATTGCCGTTGTCTTCTAAGGAAGCACTATGAACTACTTCAGCAAAGCTGAAGTACAGCCCTGCATGGAAACATCAGATAGCTCTTTCATGCTTGAAGAATTAGTATAACAATATTTTATCTTCCCGCTCCACAAATTAGTGTTCTGCTGGATCAGTCATCCAATGTCACTCATTCTGCAATTCCTTATGACTTATGAGCATAATGCAAGGAAAACTGTACCAGAGTAGGGGAAAGGATGGAGGAAAAACAGATCTCTAATTTGCAGCTCAGTGTTTGATAAGAAGTAATATAAAACACACCCTTGATTTCTGAGGTTCACTTTAAAGTCACTTTGGAACACTTTGGTAGGTTTCAGATGGGGTAAGAATATACTCAAATTCAAATAAAAGGATCTACTCTGGCTTATGCTCGCCTGTAACTCAGTTTGCTAGAACATTAACTTCTTAAAAAAAAAAAAAAAAAAAAAGACATGCAGTTATCTTGCTCACACGTCCACAAAGACATGTAAATATGTTTATCGATACACGTACAGGTACTGAACCAAATTTCAAGTTGGACTGTCTGTGTTCTTTGCAGGATCAGACAGGTAAACTCAACTCTTTGTTTACTGTGTCTAGTTCTTCCAGTACCTGAATGGCTGCATTACGATCCTGAGCAGCTTCGAGCTCTTTATTTTTCTCATTCAGCAACTTCAGCTGTTCATCTATTAGATAAAAATAAACAGTTGTGAGGCATCTGTAACAAAAATCCAGTAAATGGGATGGGGAGACAGTACTGTGACAAACTAAAACCATCATGGGGCCAGAGGCATTTATAGTGAAGAACAAAATGTAAATGACTCTAAAGCTATTACAGTTTTTTTCCCATTAAAATGGAAAATTTCACTAAAAGCAAAGTCTCTATTTGCAGAAATAATTAATGTATTTTATGAATTTTAACTCCTAGTGAAAACTTAAGACATTTCAATACAATACTGGACTAAAGAGTGACAACTTTGCCCAGTCTTATGAACAAGCAATAATACTCACGAAGTTTTTTAAGCTCCTCACGGAGAGTTTGACATTCTTGTGTCTCATTTACAAGTCTCTCCTGACTTTGAGCCAGACGCTTTTCTACTTCAAAGTACTGTTGTTCTGCAAAGTTAATAACATTACCTGAGTTCTACTTCAAATGCACTTTTTTTCTTTCTTCTCCTTACGGAGGATGCATACTATCGAACACTAGTTTAAAACAGTATTTAATCATAAAATATTTTAAAAATAATAACACTATTGTAGATTTTGAAAGAAAATATCCTTTTGAAGCCAAAAGTTGAACTTTCATATTGAATTAACGTTGTTTTAAACTCTACATTAATATGGGAAAGGGATATGCTTGCAAAACCAATCAACAAATAAACTCTACTTAACTGTTACACTTGAACATTTTTGATTTAGCTAGAGTGTTACAGCAGCACAACCATACAGCCTTGGCTCACTCATGTCACCTTAAAACTTCTTGCATGTGTAGACTAATTCTACATATATAGAATAAAAGACATGTATTGTGAGATTTGGAAAACATTCAATGATTCTTAAAACTAACTCTATGCAGGTCTACGCTGCACTTCCCAGCATACTCAAAAAATAATTAGGCAGACATTTTGATTTATCATCTGAAACAGTGTGTTACAGCACTTAACTACATGATACGTTGTAAAACCAGCATTTGTGTTGTTATCAGGCACTGTGGACTTCTGGGGAAGCACTGAATGATTTTTGCATATTTTATGTTTCAGAGCATATTTTATAGCTCCAAGTAATACTGCCCTCCAGTTATGTGAGAGAAGCATGGACATGAAAGAGAATAACGTGCTACAGCATGTAGTTACCTCAACTTAACTCACAGTATTTATTCACGTACTTCCATAACACTTCTACCATGAAAAACACAGAGGCTGATGGGAAGGCAGCAGGTCGCAGTCCCCAACAACTTGACCCACTTTCCCAGCACTGCCCAGTGCTCTTACTCCTCCCCTCTGTTGGAACTTCTGCTCCAGCTCTCCACAACCATCCAGTCTTCTGTGACCAAGTAATCTCCAAATCAATAGAAAGATTTAGTTTCTATATGGCGTGTTTTATCCACATATGTTACGATTTCCAACAGAGAATCAAGAAGGAAAACTATTCGAGGGTTGAGCGAACAAACAATTATTGCTCCTCCACGGCAAAGATCAAAGCAGACCCAGGGCTCGTTACAAGCCTGACAAAGAGTTGTTCCTTAGGTCCATTCTGAAGGCAGTTTTAAAGCGGTTTGTAGCTTCACAGAAAAGCGACAAGGTGTCGTTCCCTCGCAGCACGCACTCCCTACAGCAGGAGACCCCGGTAGGGCCCGGCTGAGACCCGCGGGCCAGGGACCCAGGAACCGCGCAGGCCGCGGCAGACACCGAGCGCTACATCCTCCTGTCCCAACATTCCCGTCAGAGGGTACTTCGCCACCGCCACCCCTCACCCTCTGCCCCGGCCCATGCCCCGGCTGAGGGAACAACGGCCCCACCGGGCAGTAGGACGAGCCACTCTGCCCAGCCACTGCCGGGCAGCGCCTCGCCCCGGCCCCTGACGGCGCCCCGGCCCCACTGCCGCTCGCCCTCCTTGCCCTTAGACTCACCGCTGTCCACCTTGAAGCGCTCATGCCTGGCTCGCAGCCCATCGATCTCGCTCTGCTGATCTGCCAGAAAACGCTCCAGCTTTCCCTGCACCGGCTTGGACAGCTTGGCGAGCTCGGCCCGCTCCAGGACCTGCTGCAGCACGGCCGCCATCTTGGGCGCAGTGCAGGGCGCCGCCGCTCGCGACGCGCACAGGGCGCAGGCGCAGCGCTCCCGACCGCGCGGCCGACGGGCCGGGCCCACGGAACCATGGGAAGCGTAGTTTTCCGCGGGGCGGGCCTAGTGCTGACCGGTACTTGCGCTTCCGGTAGAGCAGCTTATCCCACCACGTTGGGTGAGGTGACGGCAGCTGCCGGACGAGTGAGAGTGGCTGCTGTGGCGCTAGGAGGCTCGGGCACGTTGCGGGGAGATCTGCCGTGCAGTCGCTCCCTTTCCCGAAGCATTCTGGGCAGTACGCATAAGGTGCTGAAGCCTCGGCCACACAAAACATGGCGGCGGGCTGTCCCACCGCGCGCTTTTATTCCGCTCTTGAGCGTCATCGAAATGCGGCGCTGAGGCGAGGCTGAGGTGTCGGCGGCTGCCGTGCGGCCGGTGTTGGCCGCGCACCACAGGCCGGGGGACCGGCGGCGGCCCGAGGCGCAGCAGCAGAGCATCGAGCGGCGCAGAGGCGGTGCGGAGCCGGCTGAAGCGAGGCGGGTGCCGGCGGTGGCGAGGTGAGGGGACGGCGGCCGTCCTCGTTGTGGTGTTGAGCTCCAGCTGTGCCGCGGGCTGATAATTAAGCGGTGCAACTGGGCACCAAAGCAAGTTCCTCTCGAAGTGCTCTGAACGCAGGAGGAATGGCGTGTCGTGAGCTTGGGCGCAGCGCGGTGCGGCAGAAGGTCGTTGCTCGAAAACGTGATTTTCCTAATGCTTACTTGCTTGACTTGTGTCATTTCAGCGATGGGCACTTAAAGTGGGTATTGTAAAGTAGCCTTTCAAGTAAGGCTAGCGTGTACTTTTTTTCTAGCCTGCGGAGTTCTATTTTTTTCATTGAAAAACAGTTGTAGATCATAGGATACTTTTCTTGAGAAATAAAAATTAACCTGCTCAGGATTTTTTTTTTCTGATTGTTGTTTTCATGTAATCAATGTAGTTACCACTGTATAACTGATTTGTCTTTGTACATGATTTGTTTTGTAGGCTGAAACTGAAATACCTGGTCTTGAACTTGCAGCAATGGGCAGAACGTATTTTGTTGAGGAAACTGTTGGGCAGTACCTTTCAGACCTCAGCGTAAAGTTTAAGCCTTATGTCACTGGGCTGTTAATAGGGCAGGTAAGCATGTGGGGAAGGATTGCGAAGCTCATTCTGTACTCGTATTAGGTGGAGAAAACCCCATTGACTTCCAAAGTCTGTGTTGTCTGTTGGCATTCCACAGGGCTTCTCTATTGTAGGAGGGTGGTCCATAAAGCATTTGCAGTATCAGCTGACTACTCAAGTTTTCTAAAAAAATGTTTTGAAAGACTGGACACAGGGAAAAGAAAAATCTTAATGGTAACACTTAACACTCAATCAGTTTTTTAAGGCAAAGACAGAAAAAGTTCATGCAGAAAGTAGTTTTGTAGCAGGTTATACAGTTTAGCCCTAAGTGTTGTAAAGTGGCACTTACAGGTGCTGTGTTACATAGTATGTATGTTTCTGGACTTGGATTTAACATGGAACTATTGGCTCCTATTGTTTTTGCAAGTGTTCTCCACAAAGAGACTACGTAATTCGAGCTGCTCGAACGCCTCCAAAGGAAGGGCAGAAGGAAGGCAATACCAGTCCTTCAAAACTGGATTCCATTGATGAAGAATGGATCACTGCACATGCCAGTCAGGTAGTGCAATCTGAGTTTGTGGAGGGGCTGGGAGAAATGGAAAGGAGATGATATGGAGCTACCATCACTTCTGCAATCTCTAGCTTTTTTTTTTTTTTTTTTTTTTTCTTCCGAAGTTTATGATAAAACAGAAACGTAATAGGGCTAAAAAGCAAGAAAATTTGCAGGATAGTCTGTTCCTCTATTTTGGAAGAACCTGTATGTGAGAAATGGCTTTGCTTTTATCTGCTCTCAACTCATACTCATCTTGTTAGAAGTTTTTGATGCACTGTGTTATGCCTCTGCTATGATTTGTATTAATACATGTTGTTTCCTGTCTTTAAGGTTTCTAGAATGCTTCCTGGAGGCTTATTAGTTCTTGGTGTGTTTATAATTGTAACTCCAGAACTATCAAAAGATAGTCAAAATGCTTTACGCAGGGTAAGTAGAGAAAAATGGGAAAAATGCTAGGGTATTTTTAGGTGTATAACTGAGTAATTTTATGTTATTGTCTTTAGTATATATGTTTTTTTTAAAAGATAAAGTGGCAAAAACATTCTGGTTTGATTTAGAGTTTTGAGAGTGAAACCTCCAAAATTGTGCTCTGGCATTTGCTAGCTTTCTGTCTCTTGTGGCGTTTTGAAGCACTACAATGCTCAAGTATACTATCCTACAGCATTTACTAAAAACAGATGCTTTGGCTTAGAGAAAATCTCTTTAATGCCATTTCTATTAAATCTTCGTGGCACGATCATTGGCAATGGAACATATTAGCTTTTTGATTGTTTAGAGATATTTAAAATAGTGAAAGATCTATAACTCTAATTTCTTTAAAAGGAATGTTTTATGTGGAGATATTATTATTTGATTTAGGTCCATGGGATTGTATTTAGAAACCACCTGTTGTCATGTCTTACAGGCTTAAAATGCATCATTGTAGTATTGAAACACCTTGTGCTGTGCTTAGTTTTAGTCCTTTAGATGTAGGTTCATTTTCTTTTTTTCATAGGATGAACATAAGTGATTTTAATGTGAAAGATTTGCAGCCTTTGGTCTAAGGTGAAATGCTGTAGCATTTTTTGTAGGAGAAAATCTTACAATTTGAACATGTGAATATGTATTGCTTGCTTCAGTTTATATGGAAGGTGAATTAAGCTTGCATATGCAACTTTCACTTTGGAGTGTTAGCCTATGAATCTTTGCTGAATTTTCTTTCAGTATGAAATTTTGGTGACATATATGAAAATGTTATTTATCCATAATCACAAGATTGTTGGAGTTACAACCTCAGTGCAAAACTGTTTTCCAGAACTTGTAATAGATCAGTTAGCTGGAAAAATCTGTAATATTTTTTTTTCTTTAAATCTTTAGCTAATCTTTTCCATAGAAAAGTCCTTGACTAAGAGACGGCTCTGGAAACCTGCTGATGAGGATGTCTCAGACAGAGCAGCTCTTCAAGTTTGTTCTGCTACAAAAAAGTATCCTTTTTTAGCAAATTTTGTTGACTGAGATCCCAATCTGATTTCTGTAGTTATTTTTGAATACAAGATTTTGTAGAGGATTAATTTACTATACAACCCTTGAAAAGGAGTCTCTTCTGGTTTGCTCATTTCATGGCACCATGTCCATTTATCATAACTCTGCCTAGTGTAACTAGTCATAAGGCTTTGTAAGGCATGTTTAGTTGGCAGCTATATTCTCTTTTTTTTTTGTATTGTGTACAAGTACAGTGAACTATAAGACTGCTCATACTATAATTATGGTTTTCTGTGAATTAAAATGAATGGGTTTGCTACATTGGGTGGTACTTCTAATGTAGAAGCTGCAAGACAGTACCGCGTCTTCTGTAATCATTAGTTGATAGATGTGTCTATTGTTTCTGGAGTAGAGAGCAAGGTTTTTGGCTGGTAGATGAACTGGGAGGGGAAAGTTATTTTTTTTAGTTGAGATAGACCTTTAAGCTGAAATCATGGACTTTTCTGATAAGCCATAGTAGGACTGTTGGCTCTCTTACTTGGGTAAAATTTCCCCAGTCTCTTGCTGTTAAATTTGTGTATGTGTTTGGTGGCATCAAACTGCCTCTCACCATTAGAAAAAAATTGCATAGAATAAGGAAATCTGAAGTATTGCGTAACTTAAACTTCAAAGAGATACGCGTATGGAAATAGAGAAGTGCCAGGCATGTGGGATCTCTACTGGTCCTGCAGAAGAAGTCTGGGTTTGTTGATAATGAGGTAAATGCAAGAGGAGAAAGCAAGATTTTACTTAACAAATTCAGAGAAACTGGCAAAGTGCAAATATGTGCATTGGTGGTTCTCCTTGTGAGTACTTGTTGATATTAATATGGATGACCCAGCATCACTATGGTATTTGGAGTTTAAAGTCAAATATTTTTCTACTTTTTTATATTAATTAAAGTTGAGACCTTTCTCAGTTCTCAAAAAAGAAGCTACTACTACAAAGGATAAAGTAATTGCAAATTGTTTCTATTTGCTTTTTGCTTTCCTTTCAATCTTTTTCTTTAAGTAGTGAAGAATAGTTTGCCGGACCTATGATGTACAAGATCCAAAGGTAAGTTTGTTGCTCTGCATTGTGTGCAGCTTTTAATGCATGACAATTCATGTTTTAAAAATACCTCGTATGTGAGTTACATAATGTTTCATATAGGTGTTTTCTTGCTTACTTCTGCCCTCAGGGTTCAGCTAAACCAGCAGACTGGAAATATCAAAGTGCTCTGTCTGCTTCCTGGTTGTCCTTGGGCTGCACAGTAAATGTTAACATCCACATTCCACTTCTTGTGACTTCACCCAACCATGACTTGGAGAAGAATACCAAGGTAAGTAACTGACTGCATCAATCTTCTAGTTATTTTTCCTCTTTTAAATGTTATTTAAATTCAACTTGAAGCATTGCTAATATAGAAATACTGATAGCTCTTCTTTTGCTGTGCTTAGTGTTTGTGGTTTCCTTTCCTCAAAATTGTTAGCAATTATCATGATGATCATAGAATCGCCAAGGTTGGAAAAGACTTCGATTCCAGTTGTCCATCTGCCACTAAAATTTCCTCACTAAACTGTGTCCCTTAGTACCACATCTAAATGTTGCTTGAACACCTCCGAAGATGGTGACTCAACCACCTCCCTGGGCAGCCCATTCCAGTGCCTCAGCACTCTTTTGGAGGAGAAATTTTTCCTAACATCCATCCTGAACCTCCCCAGGCACAACTTGAGGCCATTCTCAGTTCCTATTGCTAATGATATGGGAAAAGAGGCTGATCCCCACCTCGCCACAGCCTCCTTTCAGACAGTCGTAGAGAGCAGTAAGGTCTCCCCTGAGGTGCCTCCTCTTTGGACTAAACAATTCCAGTTCCCTCAGCCTCTCCCCATAACACTTCACTAACACTTTACCAGCTTTGCTGCCCTTCTTGACACGCTCCAGGACCTTGATGTCTTTCCTGTAGTGAGGGGCCCAAAATGACGTTTTTGTTTTCACTTTTTTAAAGAATGGGTTAAATCGGTGGTCAAAGCAGATAGAAGACAGTATTTTTCTGATCAATGGACAAGTTAAAGACAATGATACAGAACTGCTGGAAGGGCAGGTGAGTGCCATATAATAAGGAAAAACTAATATATGAACCTCCAGTTTGATAAAACTGGGAACAGTAGGATTTCTGTACAATATTTATTGATGTAATTGGCCTGTTTCAAATAGTATGCAGAAATTGTTGTTTTTCCTTTTTTCATTGCTGCAAATTGTCTCTTCTTCCTCTGCAATAGTGAAAGTAATGTGAATATATGACATCTGACTAAAAAAAAAACATCCTATATGTTGTCTCTGGCCTTATTGCCTCATTAAAAAATCCAAGGTAGGTGTAGATGTAGGTGATGAGATTATTAAGACCTATATATGTCTAAATGTTAAAAAAAAAAAAAAAAAAACAACAACAACAAAAAAAAAAACCACCTTGATTGGCTGCCCCAGTCATTTCTCCTTTTGATTTTGTGACTATAGTCTCACAGCTATTTAGCATTGTTTTTCCTCTTAAAATATAAACTATGGCCCATTTTATGCCATAGTGAAAATGATTATAAAGCAGCTTAACATAAATATTTCATATGATACGTGTACATTTTCTTTCAGAAAAAGTTAAGGGGAAATACTCATTCCAGTACTCAGATTTTTGATGTCAAGGTTTTGACACAGCTGGTAAGTAGTGCTATCTGATAAAATGCAGTAAGAAATGAAAGAAGATTCTAGTCCAGAAATCCTCCTTAGTTTATCCTAATATATTTTTTTTTTTCTCTGGATGTTGACTTTGAAATATTGACTGTGAAACTGGCTGTGGACAGATCTGCATAGTTTGTCTTTGGAATTCTTTTCTTGATGTCCACATTGACTAAGAATTGCACAACATTGATGAAAATTGTGAGGAAAAATTGAACCATTCACTAGAGAAATGAAGACTAGTTCACTTCATACTAAGGCACTTGTGTATCCTCACGTACACTGAACTCATGGTGACTGCACTTGTTCTGAATTTCAGAATGAATCCTATTTGTAATGGCTTGCTATGCACATTTCCTTGAATACTTTCATCAGAAGCTGTCACTAGTTTTGAATTGAGGTACAGATCTTGTGAGCTGAATCAAAAACTGGAGCTGTCCAGATCTAAGTTAGAAGTTTCCTTTCTAGCAGAGGTTGTGCTGAAATGACACCTGAGTTAGGTGCCCCAGTCATGTCATGAAGTTTTATGCCCAGGCATTGCTTTGTAGTCTTCCTTCATAGCACAGGTCGTTCTGTTTTGTCAGCTGATTCCTTCGTTTCATGAAGCTGTGTCTAGCAAAACATCTATAAACTTATAAAAAGTCATTTTAAAGACTTTGGAGTACCTAAGCTACTTCCATTGTTACACTGTTCCAATGGTTAATTATCTCAGAAAAAACAATGGAAAAAAAAAACTTTTTATTTTGGTGTAATTACGGAATTACAGAATGGTTTGGGTTGGAAGGACCCATCTAATTCCAGCCCCCTGCCATAGGCAGGACATCTCCCACCAGATCAGGATGCCCGGGGCCCTGTGCAACCTGGCTTTTAGCACCTCCCACAATGGGGCATCCATAGCTTTTCTGGGCAGCCTGTGCTATTCCGGTGCCTGACAATCTTGTGAGTAAAAAAAAATATGCCTAATGTTTTGTCTAAATCTACTCTCAAAAATTTTGAACTGTTCCCTCCTGTCCTAACACTGTACTCCGGAGAAGGAGTCCCTCCCCATCCTTCCTGTAGATCCCTATTAAATACTGGAAAGCTGTTCTAACTTACCAAGCCCTAACTCCTTCAGCATGTCTCCATAAGAGAGGTGCTCATAGAATTAAAGAAGAGCTAGAGTTGGAAGGGACTTCAAAGATCATTCAGTTCCAGCCCTCTGCTCTGGGCAGGGTTGCCAACCACTAGATCAGACTGCCCAGAACCCATGATGCCTGGCCTAGGCTGCCTCCAGGAATAGGGCATCCACAAATTGTCTGGGCAGTTTATTCCAGCGCCTTACCACTCTGAGTGAAGAATTGCTTCCTAACATGTAGCCTAAATTTATCTTCTTTTTGTTTAAATCCATTTCCCTTTGTCCTATCACCATCTACCTGCGTAAAAAGTTGGTCCCTCTCCTGCTTGGAAGCTCCTTTCAGTACTGGAAGATCACAATGAGGTCTTCCCATAGCCTTCTCTTCTCCAGGCTAAGCAGTTTCAACTCCCTCAACTTTTCTTCATTGTAGAGGTTTCCAGTCCTCTGATAATCTTCGTGGCCCTTTTCTGGGCCCACTCCCAACAGCTCCACATCCTTCTTGTGCTGGGAGCCCCAGTCCTGGACGTAGTACTTCAGAGGGGGCCTCACAAAGGCAGAGTAGAGAGACAATCCCCTCCCGCTTCCCTGTTGGCCATTCCTATTTTGATGCAGTCCAGGGTACCATTGGCATTTTGGGCTCCAAGAGCACATGTTGGCTCACGTCCAGCTTTTTATCCGCCAGGACCCCAAGTGGCAGGGCTGCTCTCACAGTTCATCTCCCAGTCTGTACTCATAGCTAGGATTGCCCTGACCCATGTGCAACACCTGGCACATGGCCTTATGGAACCTCACGAGATTCTCATGGGCCCACTTTTCAGGCTTGTTGTGGTCCCTCTGGATGGCATCCCTTCCTTCTGTGCTATTGACTACACCACTCAGTGTCATAGCGTCATCTGCAAACTTGCATCCCACAGTCTGAGTCATTGATAAAGATGTTGAAGAGCACTGGTCCTAACATGGACCCCTGGGGGACTGCTTTATGACTGGCCTCCACCTGGAAGCAGAGCCATTTACAACAACCCTCTGGTTATGATCATCCAGCCAATTTCTTATCCTCTGAGCAGTCTACGCTTCAAATCCATATCTCATTAATTTAGAGAAAAAGGTGTGGTGCAGAACTATGTCAAAGGCCTTGCGCAAGTCCAGGTGCATGAAATCAGGCACCCTTCCTTTGTCCCCCCAGTGCTATCACTCCATAGAAGGCCACCAGATTGGTCAGGCATGATCTGCCCTTTGTGAAGTTGTGCTGGCTGTCTCAGATCACCTTATCTCATGTGCCTTAGCATCTCTTCCAGGAGGATCTGCCTCACGATCTTCCCATGCACAGACCTGAGACTCACTGGCCTGTAGTTGCCTGGGTCTTCCATTTTCCCTTTCTTCAGAAATGAGGATGATTTCCTTTTTCCAGTCACCAGGGACCTCGCCTAACAGCCATGACTTTTCAGATATGATGGAGCGCAGTTTGGCAGCCACATCAGCCAGTTCCTTCTGGATCCTGGGATATATATTATCTGGTCCCATAGAGTTGTCCACGGTCAGCCTTATGAGTGGTCTCAGACCTGCTCTGCTGTTAGTCTGGGTGGGATTTTGCTACCCTGACTTCTGCTTGTAAGTTCAGGGATTCAAGATACTTGGGAAGCCTGACTGGCAGTGGAAACGGAGGCAAAGAACTCACTGAGTACCTTAGCCTTCTCCACATCTGAGGAGGCCAGTTTTCCCTTTTCATTTTTCAGAGGGAGTGCACTCTCCTTCACCTGACACTAATGACCCATGTACCCAAAGAAACCCGCCTGGTTTTCTTCATTCCTTACTGAACTAAATTCCATCCATGCCATGGCTTTCTTGATCTCATCCCTGCACATCCTGACAGCATCCCTGTATTCTTCCTAGGCCACCCTTCCCTGATTCTACTGCTTATACTTTTCCTTCTTTTCCCTCAGTTTGACCAGCAGGTCCTTGCTCATCTATGATGCCTTCTCTGCCTGATATCTTATTCTGGAGTACAGTGAGCTCTTGCGCTCTCGGAAACATGTTCTTAAACCACTGCCAGCTCTGTTTTGTTTCTTTGTCCCTACGGGGAGTTTCCCAGGGGGATCTCATCCAATAATTCCTTGGAATTCCAGGAATTGAAGTTTGCTCTCATGGAGTTCAGTGTCCTGACTCCACCCTTTTCCTAGTCCATGTTCCTCGAGATCACAAGTTCAACTAGGATATGGTCACTGCAGCCCAGGTTGCCTCCAATCTTAACCTCTTTAAGCAGCTCCTCTGCTCTGGTGAGTACCAGATCTGTCAGCACTTCCCCTCTGATTGGTCTGTCCAATACTCGAACCAGAAAGTTGTCATTAATGGACTCCAGGAGTCTCCTGGATCGCTTGCAGTTCACCATCTTCATTTCCCAGCAGATATCCGGGTGGTTGAAAACCCCCTTTAGGATCAGAGCTTGGGAGTGCAACACCTCTTGCAGCTGAAGGAAGAAGGCCTCATCAACAGGCTCCCCTTGGTCACATGTCTAATAGTAGATTAGACGGCATGTGACCCATGATAAGCCTTGTGGCCTCAACTGAACTCACTCCAACACCTCTGTGTCCTTCTGGTGCTGGGGGCCCTAGAGCTGAATGCAGCACTGCAGGTATGTTCTCACGAAAGAGAAGCAGAAGTCAGTCAGACAGTTATCTCCTTTACCCTGCTGGTCACACTGTTTTTAATGCAGGTGTGATTTAGATGTGATAATAGGGTGTGTTTGGCTTTGTGGGCTGCAAGCTCATGTTTCTGGCTTGTGTTCAGTTTTTGTACACTAACACTTCCAAGTCCTTCCCAGGGCGATCCTCAATTCAATCTCCATTCAGCCTATATTCATGTCTGGGATCTCTCTGACTCGTGTACAGGATCATGCTCTTTGTCTTGGTGAATTTCATGAGCTTCACATGGACCTACCTTTCTAGTCTGTTTATATCTGTGGATGGCATCCTTTTTATTGACCACATCATGCAGGTTCGTGTTGCCTGCAGACTTGCTGAGAGTGCACTCAGACACATTGCCTGTGTCGCTGACAAAGATGCTAGATAGTGCTGGTCCCAATACCAACCTCTGAGGAACACCACTCATCACTTGTCTCTGCCTGGACACTGAATTGTTGACTGTAACTTTTTGAGTGAGCATCTAGGCTGTGAATGTCCACCTTTTCGGCTTGCCTGGGCCACATTTGAGTGAAGAGGAATTGTCTTGGGATACTTACAAAATGTATAATGTAGAATCATCAAAAGGCCATTAAGATCCAGGCATGTCCTACCTGCCCAGCACGGCTTACAGTGCAGCTCACCCCCTTCCTGCAATTTAAAGGCAGTGTTTCTGCGCCTCAGGGCGGCCCCACACCAATCTCTCAGCGACTGCTAAACTGTCATTGTGCTGTGAACACTGTCACCTGAAACCAGGGCATGGGGGGCAGTGCTGTGCAGTGTTGACTCAAGCAATAGCAAATTACTATATGCATTTTGATACACTGTCTAAAGACAGAGCTTTGAACAGCAAGGAATATGCAGCTATGCTTTCTGTTTTGATAAAGGAATTTGAAAATGGAATCATAGAACCTTCACAGTTGGAAGGGATCTTTAAAGATTATCTGCTCCGACTCTCCTGCAATGAGCAGGGGCATCCACATTTCAATCAGGTGCTCAGAGTGTGGTCCAGCCTGGCCTTGAAAGTCTCCAGGGATGAGACTTCCACCACATAGCTAGACAACATGTTCCAGTGCATCACCACCCTCACTGTAGAAGACTTCTTCCTTATACCAAACCCAAATCTACCCTCTTTTAGTTTGAAACTGTTTCCCCTTGTCCTATCACCATGGACTCCGCTAAAGAGTCTGTCCCGTTCTTTCTTATAGCTGCCCATTAGATACTGAAAGGCCACTTGCAGGTCACCTTGGAGCCATCTCTTCAGGCCGAACAGCCCCAGCTCTCTCAGCCTGTACTTGTAGAGAGGTCTTCCAACCCTTGGATCATTTTTGCAGCCCTCTTCTGGATGCTTTCCCAGAGGTCCGTGTCTCTACCAAGGACTCTGCATCTGGACACAGTGCTCCAGGTGAGGTCTCACCAGCACAGAGCAGAGGGGCAGGATCACCTCCCTCACCCTGCTGGTCACACTGCTTTTGATGCGGCCCGGGGTATGGATGGCTTTTTGGGCTGTGAGGGCATGTTGCTGGCTCATGTCCAGCTTCTCATCCTGCAGTACCTGTAAGTCCTTTTCAGTAGAGCTGTGCTCCATCCTTTCATCCCCTAGTTTATATTGGTAGTGGGGGTTGCCTCAACCCAGGTGCAAGACTTTGCACTTGGATTTATTGTACCTCATGAGGTTGTCCAGGGCACATTGTTTAGGCTGTGTAGGTCAGTCTGAATGGCAGCCTGTCCCTTGGGTGCAAAAAAAAAAAAAAAAAAAAAAAGACAGTTTACATTTGTGAGATCACTTTCAATTGATATAAGTACATGACCTGCAAATTTTCAAATGGAATGTATAGAGTTGCAGTCAGGTATTCAACTCAAAAATCTGATCGTGATTCTTTACTAGACTCTTACGATCCCTATCTTAGCAGGAAAAAATATCCTTTGTTTCACAATCGTGCCTTATTCATATTCATTGCTTTTTGACAGTACAGACATTATGAACAATTACCATCAAGGTGAAAGTACAAAAGTAGTAAAAGATTTTATCAAAAATCATTGAACGCCTGAATGTCTCACTACGAAATGCAGCTGCTGCCATCAAATCTGACCGGTGTGTTAGTTTCACAAAAACAAAGTCAAATAGCCCACAAGTTTTATGCTTGTTTCTCTTTTTTTGTTTTGTTTTGTTTTGTTTTTAGTATTTTAAGAAAAATATTTTAAAGTAGTATGTTTTGATACTAAATAATTTAATAATAGAATTGTATATTTTGTGAGGGCTGCTCTGAAAGTAACACCTCCTGTTTTATTATGTTGGCCCATAACATCAGAGGCAAATGCTGGTGGTATGGCAGTAAAGGTTGAACCTTCCAACCAATATTCCGTTACATTTTGTTGCCATGTGGCAGATGGCAGCAGAGGGGCAGTCTGACAAAATGGCATCTGATGTGCAAGTGTGTGTGAAGTAAAGGTATGTCACTGAACTTCTCCGTGCAAAAAAATTGCACCAATTGACATTCACCAAAACTTTCTTAATTGTTATTGAGACCAAACAGTGAATGTGAGTGGTGGTTTGTTTCAGCAGTGGTGACAGTGGGTCAGATTGTTATGAGTATGGGATGCAGGCTGTTGTTTATCACTAGCAAAAATGCATAGTTAATGGTGGTGACTATATTGAAAAATAGTATTTTGTAGCTGAGAATTTGCTCTATCAAATAACATTATTGTGCACTCTGTATATGTTGTCATTTCCCTTGAAATAAATAGGAGGCATTACTTTTGAAGTGGCCTACATATCTGTGGCCCAACACAATTTCTATTCACAAAACTTGTATCAGGCAAACCAAAAGGTTGAACACGCGTGATCTATCACCAGTATTCTAAAACATGCTTAAATGCTACATCTACCCTTTCCTTAAACACCTCCAGAAATAATGATTCCACAGCTTTCCTGGGCAGCCTGTTCTAATGCCTGACCACTGTTTCTGAGAGGAAATTCTTAATATCCAACATGAACGTCCCCTGGAACAATTTGAGGCCATTCCCTCTTACCCTTGTTGCTGTTTACCTGAGGGAAGAGTCTGATTGCCACCTCGCCACAACCTTCTTTCAGGCAGCTACAGAGAGCAAAAAGGTCTCCCCTAAAACTTCTACAGCATTATTGCAGTTCCCTCAGCCTCTCCCCACATGACTTGTGCTGCAGGCACTTCACCAGCTTCATTGCTCTTTTCTGGACACTCTCCAGGGTCTTGATGTGTCTCTTGCTTTGAGGGGTCCAAAACTGAACACGGCACTTGAGGCATGACCTCACCAGAGCTGAGTATGAAGGAATAATCACCTCCCTGCTCCTGCTGGCTGCACTATTTCTGATATAAGCCAGGATGCCATTGGCAATTTTGGCTGATGGAGCAGACTGCTGGCTCATGTTCAGTTGAGCCAACCAACACCAGCAGATCTTTTGTGCAGTTTTCCAGCCACTCTGCGCTAAGCTTATAGCACTGTATGTGGTTGTTGTGACCGAAGTGCAGAATCAGACACTTGGTTTTGTTGAACTTTATTAATAATCTCACTGACCTCAGACCAAAAAGTAAAAAGAAAAACAAAAATTGAAAAATCGATTTTTTTCAGCATTCTTGAAACCTGTTCTCAAATTCCTTTATCACAATGGAAAGCAAGGCTGGAATTTTTTTGCTGTTCACAGGACTGTGTTTAGCCAACAAATCAAAATGCATACAGTTATTTGCCATGGCTTGAGATAGCACTGCACTGCGCCCTGCCCATGCCCTGGTTTTAGCTGACACTGATGTTTGGTCATTGCCCAGAAATGGGTGCACACCTGGGGCTGGGCCAGGCCGCTCAATGGGAAGAGCCACTGCCATGAGGGTGCGGGGCAGGGGCTGGACTGCAGGACAGGCTGGGTTGGGCTGCAGGATGTGCCTGATCTGGGCAATTCCTTATCTATCAAGTGATTCATCTGCCAAATCTGTTTCTCCGTTTTAGAGACAAGGATGTTGTGTGGGACATTATCAAATCCTTTGGACAATTCCCGGTCCGTGACATCAGTTGCTCTTAGCTTATCCACCAGTACTGTAGATGGCCAGCAAATTTGCCAGGCACAATTTTACCTTAGTGAGTCCGTGTTGTCTGTCACCTACCATGTGCCTTAGCATAGTTTACAGGAGGATTTGCCAGGTGCAGAGGTGAGACTGAATGGGATGCAGTTCCCTGGATCTTCCATTCCTTCCTTTTTAAAAAGTGAGGGTTACATTTACTTTTTCCAGTCACAACAAAAGTTGATTACGCAGTTCCTGCAGAAGTTACACATCCGGGTGTTTCCAGGTGTATCTTAAAATGCTTCCTAGGATGCACTCATTGTTTTCTGTAAATAAGGAACCTGTCTCTAGGAAACAGGTTGATGCAGTTTTAAATACAACATAGATGTAGATAGTAGGTATATATATAGATATATTATTTATTTTTATACCTATATATAGAATTATTTATTTATATATATAATATAATAGATATTAGATAGATGTATAATCACTGCTTGTTGATGGGTAGCTCTCTGAATACCCTAGGTTATGCTTATTATATGGTAAAATAACTACTTAATTACTAAAAAAAAATATGTTTAAAAGCTTGCTAGATTGTGATACCAGTACTTACCATCCCTTTCCTGAAATGTTTCGAAAGTATCACAGACATAAATATTTAAATCACAAGAATATGTTTTAAATAATTGAGGAGGAGAGATATTTTGAGTTATAATTAACAAAACTTAAAAAAGAAAAAGAGAAATAATGAGGGAAGGCAGGTTACATGTAAACATCTTAAAGTATGCGTTTAATGTCCTAGCTGTGTTTTTTGTTACTCGTGCTGCAAGTGCCTTAGGTAACAAGATGAAACTGAAGCACATTTGTTTTTCAGTCCCAGGGCTCAAGTCACAGATCAACAGCAACAGTCCAGGTCTGCAGTGGTTCCATAAATCTCAAAGGTGCTGTGAAGTGCAGAGCCTATGTACATAACAACAAGCCAAAAGTGAAAGAAGCTATTCAGGTAATGTCTAGTTCATCAGAAATAGTTTTCCAAAATACGTAAAATTTATCATGCTTTTTTCATCACTGAAATGGTTTGGCCTAAACTGGGGTTCACCCCTTGATCATATAGATTAGTTTCTGAAATCACTGGGGTAGAGGGCGCAGGTTCAGTTCATTTTTCACTTTTTCAGCTATTTCTTCTGTTAAAACTGTTCTTTAGTGAATCTTTGCATAATTTGTGTTTAGACTGTTACAGATTTTCTTAAGAAAATGTTGCAGACTGTGTAATTTTGTACACACAGAAGGTAAAATACAACTTTGTTTGATCAATGTTTTTTTTTGTTCTTTATCGAGTCAATGCCTTGTTATTATTTTTGTTTGATTTTGATGTCCAGAAATCATCAGTTCTAGCAATACTAAAATTTTTCTCTGCTTTTCATCTCTGTTGTTTTCTATTTTATACTAGTTCTTGTAATGCTAGCTTCTGTTTATTGAACTTTCAGTTCCCACTGGAGATTTTAAAATCTGATAAGATTTTCTCTTATTTTAATTTTCTTCAGAGCTTTTTATTTTCTGGAGAACTATTCTTTCAACATGGTTTAGACCTATGAGGCACTTCTGTTCTTGTTTCTTACTAACAGAAAGGTTTGCAAATGTCTTTTGTGTTGCTCAGATTTTTACTTTTTCCTTCTGCAGGCTTTGAAGAGAGACATAATAAACACATTGAGCGATCGCTGTGAAATACTGTTCGAGGATCTCATAATAAATGAAGGACATTGTAAAAAAAGTAGGAATTCAGAGAAAAAAAAACATTTACACTTGCAATACATTTTTGTTCTTGTAAAAAGCTATGCTGCCTTACTGAAGTCCTGCTAGAGAAAAAAAAGGAACACAAAAAAACACCAAAACAAACTGCAAAATTTCAATTTGCCGGCATTGACATTTTCTTAAGTCGGGAGAGTTTTGATTAAGTCCAGATATGTTTTTTGGTACCACAGTTTTCACACAAAGTTTATGTTCAGTTCTTATGGCCATAAAATGCAACTTCAACCCTTTTCTCATTGACTGTGAATTCTTTAATTTTTCAAAATTCCGTAGTTCAAACTCTAATTGAACTCCTAATTTGTAGTGTGCGGTTTTTGCAAAATCCCTCTACGGCGTTCCTTCCTACTAATATTAAAATGAAAGATATGATAAAATTTGGCAAGATTATAAGAACCAGCTGTGGGCATGGCCTTGCTTGTTCTTATGTTACCTGCGTAGCATTCTGCGTTTCTGTTAGCCAACTTTATCTCAACTCCTTTTTGAAGTTTTCAGTTGCATGCAATTTTCAGTTTCCTCTCTAGGGGGCACCCTTCCTTCGTGGCTGTAGGTAGAGAATAAAGCAGCCAAGTGTTTGCAGCCTTTGTGGTGTTGAAATTATATGCTGTCCTGTGCATGCTCTTATCTGCAGTGTTTCCCAGAGTTCTTCTGCTAGTCATTCTAAACACGATAAAAGGTCTGTTAAGAATTTGTGGTCTGTTTTGGAGGTCTCTCAGATATTTCTGGAGAGACTAAAAACATCTGTATAATAGCAGCCAAATCTTTCATAAAATAGTAACATCTAAACAAACCATGTTTGTAATCAGGATTTTTACATGGAAACCTTGAGCAGTTCTTTTGCAACAGCTTTGTCTTTCTGTCAGAGATTAATTGGGAATCTTATCATAACTATCAAGGCTTTTATTTAGATGGTATTTTTCCCCTTTTCCTTTTAGATTTTGAGAGGGTATATCATGTCTTACCTCAAAGACTGTTTGTTCCTTTTGCTGGATCCAGTGTGATGCTCAGTGATTATAAGTTTGGTGATGAGGCTGCTGGAGAAATTCAGGAACGTTTTGTTGAGATGTTGGACCAATTTGTGCAAGCTGAAGATATCCATATAGCAGAGGAGGTTAACACAGGTAAATAGAGTATCTGAGAGCCAGGATGGAGTGCATCAGAAATTATCAAAGTGTTAATTGATTGCAAAGGCCAGTTTTATGCAGACATGGAGTTTAGTGTGTTTAAAGTTGGTTTACTTAATATTTTTGAAGCTTGTTTATATCTATCTAATTATGTTTTACACATATTTCTCAAAAATTGTATGTTTTCTTGCAGCATCTGTTTTTGGCTTGTAACAGAACACTGTAATTATATTGCACTTTCTTATCAATTTTATTATCTATGAAACCATGGTTGCAGCTCATGAGCTATAATAGATATGTAAGTATATAGCTGAACAATGTTTATTTGTGCTCATCCTGTATTTGTGGATAAACTATGAGAAAAATCTATTAAGCTTTATACTCTGCTTATTTTTACAGTAATTCAACTTCGCAGTTGAAGAGCAGAGTAATTCTGATACTAGATAGAAAGAGAAGTTGAGTGCTTTTAGCATTACTTTTTCAAAAATATGAAGTCTCTTTGTTCTCAGTGTTTTTTCTTATGTACTGAATGCAGTGCTCAAAACTGAAGTTTTGTGGTTCACTTGGAAAGAATGTGGTTCCCTCAGATCTTTCTTTTTTCTACTGAATGCTTTTTAAGTTTATGATCTCATGAAACTATTATCCTCTATTTAATACACTTACTTTGCTACAATCTAGTTATTGGTTCTTTTCTGAAACTTTACTGATTTTCCTGTATAATCTGAATTAGATTGTACCCTATTTTTTCCATAAGAGTTTGATTTCAATCTTGGAGTCAAATCTGTATTTGAAATGCATCTAGTAATAGTTCCTGTGGTCTCTTGGAAGAAATTCCCACCCCAGTGTCGTTGTGAGCTGCAGGATAGAGTTCTGTAGTTTAAGTACAAAAAATTGTCACTATTTCTTAGATAATAGTAGTGATATCTTCTTGATATTGGTATTAGCGGACAAAAATAGCGTAGCCAAGAGCGTGCTCTCTAAATTGAACTGTGATTCCTGATGTTCTTCTTGACCTCCTTGCTCACTTGCTTTTTAAAAATTTCTTAATTTCAGAACTAACCATAAATTCTTACATCTTTCTGAAATTACTGGATTTTCTAGGTTTTAACTGAGCTTAGCAGTGAATCTGACTCGTTGAATTGAGAAGCAAAAGATGTGCACAGTGTAAGAGCCTGGAGAAAAAACAGTAAAGGCAATAAAAATCTGTATTGTATTATGACAGTACCTTTTATTAATCATAAATCTAGTTATTACTAAAAACTAATAACTTAAAGCAATTAATGTAACTTATGGAAGTAAATTAATGCAGCACTGAAGGTAGGTGTGGGAAAAGGTGATGATTCAGTTCAGCTTTACTGCTTACGTAAGGATGTAGAATCCAGAGGTAGGAAGAAAGGCAGTACTTAATCTAACAGCAGCGCATCAAAAAGACTAGGAGCTGCTAATATGTATAAAATGATGTCTGGATAGCTCACAGAGTAGAGCTGTGTTCTTGTAACTTACTGGTTATGGAGCTAGATATGTGGGATTTTTTTAAATGTGAATTAAAGTAAATGCATAAAAGAGGAAAAGGAAAACCATACCAAGAAGATTTTACAAAAGAAATGAGACTGACCTCGCCCCGGTGAACATCAAAATGTTTGCCCATAAGAATGGGTTCTGGCACTGCTCCTGGTGGTAATTATGCTATCCACGCAGTGCTGTTTGATGATTACTGTTAAGAAATCATTAACTTGAGATTTATCAAAATGCTTCTTCAATTTATTAGCACCAGAAGGCTATTTTACAAACCAAACCTGCTAGCTATGTTGTTTTTCCTTACTTTATTGTAAAGAAAAGCATTAATTCTACAGCTTGACAGCTCTCTTGGTACTTTGAGATTTAGCCTGTGTGTATTGCTGTAAACATAGTTCTGTGACAGGAAAGTTTGGAGTTTCCCTTGTGCTTTCCCAATGTATCATTCTAATATGGCCAGCATTTGTTGTTTCTCAAAGCTTGATTGTCATTACCAAACATATTTCTAGTACTCAGTATATGGTATAAAAACTGATTTGCTGCAAATCTTGACATCTCCCTGTTTATACTGCAGTTACTGTTATTTTAGACACTGACCTTGAATTAATGAGAGAAATGATATCTCTTGCAAAGTTATGCAGAAAATTTACTTTAAAAAAAAAAACCTGTTTAAAAATCAAAAACTTAAGGAGGCTTTTCAAATAGTGCCTTTTTTAATGTTCTTTAAAATATAAATAAGAAGACCATCCAGTCAATACCGTGAAAAGATTTATAATTAAGAAGCACGTAGCCAGCATATGTGAAATGAAGATATTTGGAGAAGGCCAGGTTCATGTGCTGACTTCATATGGCCCGTTGTCACCTGCAGCTTTATTTTCTTAATCACTTGAACATCTCTCCAGGTCGCTCTGAGGTCTTGCTTTAAAATTATTACACAGAAAATAAAAAGCAAAACCAGAACTATTTGTAACTGAAAGATGTAAGCAGCTCTAACACTGTGGTTTCAAGATATTTAGTACTTTAATGCAAGCAATTGAAAGGTCTGCATTTATGACTGGCTTTTCTAAATCCCTGTTCATCCTCAGGGTGGGGGTATTAAGTAGGCTGAGAAGATGAGACAGTGATAGTAATCTCTTCTCCACCTTTGTTAGCAAATTGAGGAATTGCTGTGGAATTAAGGATTCGTAGAATTCTGCTTTTGAAAACTTTATATGGTTTATAATACAACTACTTCAAATATAGGTCTTCCTTAACTTAATGGTATAAATGCCTTCAGTAAGTAAATAGCCCGAGGGTATTTCTTTTTTGCTTCTTCTCTTTCTTTATTTTCATGAATAAGTGGGCATTGCTGCCTTGATGTTTAGCTTCAAAATTATTTTCAGAAATGTGTAGCTGTTCTTAGAACAGTGCGAAGAAATGTAAATTTAGAGGGCACCAATTGCCCTACTTGCGCATCAGAGGTAGAGCAGAAAGTTACCTGCTAGATCTAGACTTTAAAAAGGACCCAAGAAACGCAGCCAACTTCTCTAAAAGCAAGAGGTTATTTTAGGGAACTGAAAACTCTTCTAAGTAATTTTGAAAGAATGTGGTGCTCTTACTACACTGAGTACAGAACTTACTTAAAAAGCTGTCATGTAACTGTTAATCATTTACATATTGCACACTAGTTACAGATTTCTGCTCATATTTTGGGTAGATGAAATTGTGTTCTTCAGAAAAAATAATGATGAAGCAACAGCCTCAGATATTAAAGTTAAGATGATTTCAAGAAAGCAATGCATGCACTGAATGGTTTTATTCTTATTTTACATAATGTGAAGCTTGCTGGCAGATCTCAGCCATATTTATGCTTACATTTGCATACATATTAGTGTAAATTTAAAGATACCCTGTTAAGTTTTGTATCAGGCAGTTCTTAATTGCTGCCATGGAGTTTATACAAAGCCAGTGGATTAAGGAATAGAAATGGCTAAAGACAGGTTGTAAATGGCTAGTTTGAATGTTTTTGTGAAAAGCAAGATCTTGTGCAAGTTTGACTTAAGATTTTGAAGATGTGTACACATGACTCATCTTAGATGACAGAAACAACCTATCTGATCACACATTTAGATTATACATTTCCCTCCGACTTTAGGATAAAGTACATTTCCATGAATCATTTGCACATGAATCATAATGGGATGTGCCTTGTATTACTCAGCTATGTAATTTGTAATTAAAGCTGATTAACAACCCCACTCTGAAAATGAGACATCCTTTTTTTTTTTATTTTTTTTAATTTAGATCAATATTTTGTAGACTTAGTATTGGCACTGCTGTTGTTTTTTCCTTCGTCTTCAGAACAGGAACAGTATGTTAGTTTCTTGTATCTGTGTTTGTATTCCCTTCTTTCTGAAGGCATCCAAATCTCACTGCAATAGCACAAGCACTTTCTCCCACTTCCTTTGTACTTTTCCACAGCAGAAATGCAATAGTAATTACTGAGCTGTAATTAAAAATTTTGATGCTTGACAAACTGTGCTTTGGACAGGAATGGCAACTGAAGGCATTTGGCCCATGGCTACCACTAAGTGACCTTATCGCTAGACTGCAGAGACCAAAGTGTGCTCACTCTGTGTGGGACAAACAAGCAAGTTCGTGTAGAGGTCTTCTTTCTCTCCTCCCTTCTCTCCAACATACTGGTTATATCAAAATGATTAGAGAAATCTTTGGAAAGGAAATAGATAAGGGTTTGAATTCCATCAGTCTGGAAATAGTTAAGCTCTCCTCCTGGATGAGCAGCCCAAGAATTTAGTAGTTGTTCCAAAGGAGAGTAGATCCTCTATTCCTGTTCTGGAAGTATATTTTTTAGGGACTTTTGAAAAGAAATTTCTGTGCTTCAAAAAGAACATTTATTTTTGTGCAGCAGGTGAATGATGCTGGCCTTTCTGTTTCAGTGGCAGTAGATTTTGCATGTACCCTATATTCTGCACAAATGGCTTTGAAGGGAAATCTTTTAATACTGTGCTGTTGCTGCTGTTTCTACAGGGATAAGCTGATTTTTCTACTTTGTGAAGTTGATAGGAAGTTTATGGTCTTCTGCATTAATTCAAGTTTGAAATGCAAATGTTATCTTTTCACCTGGTATTTACTTGTTCACTTGATTTCCATGCAGTTGGTATTTGTCCAATTTCCGAAAACATGGATGATACACAACAGAAACAACTGACGGAAGCAACACTGCTGTTGAAATTTCAACAAAATATGGGTATGTTACCTCCCTATTTCTACTGTGGCAATGTAGGGATTATGATGGGTCCTTTCTCTATATAATTTGCTTCCACAGCATTATTATTATTCTCACAGCTGATAAGATTAATTAAAAAACAACAACAACAAAAAAAAACCAACAAAAAAGCCCTCTTCATTGCTTCTGTGAGGAGATGCAGTAGCTTTTCTAGAATTTTACTGTTGTAGATAGAGGGTGTTTCTGAACAAATATCAATTCGCTCTTTGAACAAAACCAGTGCTTGTAGTTCATTCAGCCTGCAAGTCAATATGGAAAGCTTAAGCTATTGGAGAGCCATCACTTCTGTAATTTCGTAGTTGGGAAAAAAACCCACATCTGAGTGGCTTTGTCGAACAGGCATCCCTAAATTGGCTAGTGACTCACTAAGCTTCTTCTTTTGATGAATACATATGGGCTTGGGTGGTATTTCTCAGCCTCAGTAGAGGAAAGAGCAGCTACAGAATTTTTCCAATTGCTGTCTCTCCATTATATCCCCTTGATTCAGCTTTCCAGCTTTCATACATTTATCTGCACTTACTGTAGTTCTCCTTGCTGTGAGCTTTAGCTGTCGTTTTGTATTACAATAATTGCACTTTAATCAACTATAACATTTGCTTTCTATTAATTCTTAATTCTAGAACATGATAACTTTAATGGAGAAAAGTATTAACGTCTGTTAGGTTTGCACATAGTGTAACAATAACAATTTATTCCCTCTAGTCATCAGTCCTTCCTCTCACCCCAGCGTATTTTATTCAACTGCAACAGTAACAAACTATTAATCAATAAGCAAATTGTTGTTGTGGTACAAAGAGACTTAAGGAATAGATGCAGTGCCACAGAGAAAAACCCTAACCCTAGTGCCTCTGTGGAAAAACTTAGTAGCTTTTGTTTCTTCAAGCCTGAAGATTTTGGGTTTTTTGCTAGTTGTATTCCTAGAATTAAGCAGTAGTGTGGAGTCACTGCCTTATTTTATGGGCAGGGCATGACCGAGTTACTAGGGAAGGTGCTGTCAACTGGTTTTTGGAAGGAGCCTGCTCTGACCAAAGATTTTATGAGAAGCTTCTGTAATTTAATTATCTGAGATCATAGCTTTGAATGTAGGCTGAGCAGTGGTGTGCATAGCTTTTGGGGTGGCTTTTGCTGTATCTCCTCTTGCTTGTCATTCATAGTGACCCTACCCTCCACACCCTAGCTGCTGACTGTGCCACTCACTGAACTTGATGCTCACTGAAAGCATTTCCTTTGTTGTTTTTAGGTGTGGTAATAGCAGTTGCTGTTGCAGTCTTTGCATCAATCTTCTCTTTCAATTACTTCAGCGACTAAAGTCGAGCAAAGCAGCCTCACTGAAGTAGAGTCTGGTAATCACATTTATACAAGATGGAAACATTGGGGTTTAATGTACCAGTAGTTGAGGATTGTTGCCTAAAAACCACCAGTTAGATGCGCAGTATAAATTGCTACATTTCCGGCTACTTTGTTCCTGCATGCAATTAATATATCAAGTAGCAGGTAAATCAAATTTATACAAAACTAGTTATGTTACTCTTATGTAAATTAATGACATTATGGTCTAGAAAGTGTCCTTAAACCAACACAGAACCTCCATTTTCCTCTAGCTTCTAATTTTAACATAAAATGTTACTGCTGGTATTTTCCAGGCTATTGGTAATATTAGCAGAGTTACTTAGTATGAAAATTCTTACTTCGGGAGTTCCTTTGCTAAAAGATATCTCATCTTATTAAACTTAATTAAGGGAAAATTGGATTTTACAAAGCCAACGTCTCACCACATGCACTTTTTAGATAATATTCCAGACGGCCAATTCAGATTGTAAATAACTTAGTTTAAGACCCGGAGAACTCAAAAATCAGTAAAATGTGTAGAATTTTGTGGGTCTACTGCCTTTTATCCTGTTACTTCTGATCTGCATCTAGGCAGCTGTTAAAGACTATTTTTTTTTATAACTAAGCTGTCAAAATTTGTTTGCTAATCCTGATATTTAGACCATATGCAGGTAACTTTCCATGATTAGATATTCTTCTGGGTATAGTGGGCAATATCATTATCCTAAACTTGACATGAGGAATGCAGGGGGAAGGAAAAGTTCTTGTAAAGTTGATAAAGGTAATTCATATATGAAACGTGATGTTTGCTTGGATCTGAATCATAGTAGAATGGAATTTCAGATTTTAGCACAATTAAGTATCACTGCAGGTTTCTTTTTAGTGTAAAGCCACAGGAACACTTAAAGATTAGATTCTAAAACATAATCAAGTATGTAAGTATGTATTTGAATACTTTCAATAAAAAGCAAGAATGGGATGTATGCATTTGAAATCCTCTTACCTTGTCTGTGTATTCTGTTTTCACATATTTGGTAAAATTATCTACTTTTAGTTTTGTAACTTATTGTGGAATGCAGCTCCTCTGTGCTCAGTATTGTCAAGTAGGGCCTCTCAGGGAAAAGTGAAGGTTATAATTGAAGATACTGTTTTCAGGTAAGTCCATCAACTGCTGCATAGCTTGTAGATGAGTCATATTCTGTGCAAATAGAAATTGAGTGCTGCCAGAAAATGAGATGAGTTTACCAATATGCTTTATAATATGGTTGGCCTAAAAATTACTCTGCTGTAGCAGAGTAAAGAAAGTATTGCAAGGGAACAGAAGTAATGGGAAGAATAAAGGTTTTCTCTCCCTCTCTCTCTCTATCACTCTCTTTTTTTCTTTTTTTTTTTTTTGTTTAATATCCTTGTCCTATTTCCTCATTCTTGCTCAGATCTCAATAGGACTCAAGCTTAGTTGCATAGAAGTAACATCTTGCATTTTAAACAGTCACACTTTTAAACTTGTATTTGCTTGATATTCGTATGTGTGTGTGACTATTTGTCTGATTCACTTCATGGTTAAATCATTCTGTATGAGATAGAATATTTGTACCAACAACAAAGTCAATGAATTGCAAGTCTTTTGCTTGAGCTCTTGCCCGTCTCCCACCCAGGTTTACTTGCAATTTCTATATACAGCACCATGAAGGAAAGCCCAAAAAGGGACTGTTTCTATAACACTGTTTTAAGTTTTCTTCTTCAGTCTCAGACAGCCCATCTGATTTGTAAACAGAAGTGTTCTTAACTGCAGAGTGCCTCCATGGAAGTAAAACTACAAAGCAGTTCTTTTGTAGTTGCTTTGCTCACAGCTCCACAAAGGATGGGAAGAACAACATTGCAGGTGCTACGTTACACCCAAGAGGAAAATAGTAATGAAATGCTCTTCCAATAGTTTTTTTGTTTGGCAGTTGTGTAAAAAGTACAGCTTGTTTAGATGTTCTGTGGATCACCTAGGGAAGAATTCTATTACCCTTTTCACATGCAGGCACATTCAGGGTATAGTAAATACTCTTTACAGTGTTATCACAGACCATCAAATTAATCTTTTTTACGTATCAAGGATCTGTGGAAGTCTAATACTTCACTTCGATATTGAAACGCTAAGAACAAAGTTCCTCTGGATAAGCTCTCTGCTTTGTATCACAGGAGACTTCATCTTTGCAGTACAAAAACAGTTTAGCCCTGTCCAAGAAAAAAAGAGTAATTTGTCTTGTAACTACAGATTGAACCTTCCAGTCATTGTGCCGCGAGAAACAGTGGATGTAGAAGAAAGCAGATTCTCACTTGTTTAAGAATTACAGAACTGATCAAGATGATTTCACTGTCTTCTTGCTTCCCATCCCTTTTCTACTGTTAGCCATTGACAACCTAAGATACTGTTTTTTTTTAAAGGAAAATTAAAAGCTTTTAAAGTCTATTACTAGACTGTTTCTTAACTTTTTCTCAGGTTTTACATAAGCACGTCCTTTTTCTGACTGTAAGCTCCTAAAGCTTACAATTTGTGAAAATTCCATTGTGATTGAAACTGAGATGTTTAACTCCTTATGCCTGGATAAGAACATATTTTTATTTTAATGTGCAGGAGTCTAGAGGGGCTTTTGAGACTTCCATGTCTGAATATTTGTCTTCTTCAGGTGTAGTTGTTAGTTGTAAAGTTGAAGTTATGGAATAATTTTATACAAACTTTATTTCTCTGCTTGTCTTTATTATTCTGTTTTTTGTTTGTTTGTTTACAGTGTTTAAATCTATGAAATATGAAATGCTTCACTTTTAAACAGTATTATTTTGATGTGATCCTTCCTTCTAGAGCTTCTGTCTTTAATCTAGTCATCAGAGACACCACTGATAGTTTTCCCACCTTCATTTTTGTCTGAAGCAGTGTATGTGAACACATGTAGGGTTCCTGCCACTTTGAGTCAAACGGAAGAATAAATTCATATTTAGGAAGCAGAAAGGGTTCTCCCATTGTCTTGTTGAAACATTTGCTGCTTGCTATTCAAGAACCTTTGCAGTAGGGTGGTATTTGAGTCAAGTCTTGCTTTATGTTTTCAAGGTTCTATTTTTTTTTCTTTTCTAGCAGAAATAAGGATGTGATCAGAACTTTATTTGAAACTTAGTCATGAGCTGTTAAGGCTTGGTGTCACATTTCTCTTTCTTTTTTGAACTACAGATTGACAGAAATCCTGCTTAAGCATGTTTAATCTGTCTTTTAAATTGGAGTGTCAGCTTGTTTCTTACAGCGAGCTATTAATGCATTTTCTGGGATGGTTACTGTTTGTAAAGGGGTTTTGTTTTCAGTCTGATTTCTCAAAGAAATGAAGCTTATGTGATTAGACTGCTTAAGTTCATCTACCAACTTTTGAATTAAGTTTGATAGAAGGAAGAATTCTCAAGAGTGTTAAGTTCCAACTAATTATTTGGAGACTTTCCCATGTGTGGATTACAAAAATCTTTTATACCTCCTGTTTCAAATATTTCACAAAAAAAAAACCAAAAAAAACAGCCAAACCCAAGATAAATGTCTTGATACACAGGAAGCTAGCTGTATTTGTGATGGACAAAATATAATTGATTATTTTCTGCATAACCTTCTATATGATCATGTGATAGTAGGTGTATCTATAATATGTAGCTTTTTGAAAAGTTGGCATGCTGATGCAAATGCAACATTAAGAGGAAATGAAGATGCTAGTAACTGAGGAGTAAGCGTCATGCTTGATGAAGAGAGAAAGGGTCTGGTCTAAGGAAAAAGACTGCTGCCAGTTTTATCCCAATCAGGGGTCTGTCAGAAAAATGTATGGTATTGTGTATTTCTTGGTTCTTCAGAAATTTATGACACAGAACTCATGAAATTTTGAGAAGATAGTCTTTGACCTCCTGAGGGAATAAAATCCTGCATTGTTTCACATTTTAAAGGAGCTGATGTGTTGTTAAGATATGAAACTTCATTCTTATTGCTTAATTTATGCAGGGTAAGGTTTTGAATACTCTGTTAAAACATAAATCCATGGCAAAACAATTTTGAAAATAAATTCAGAAATTTTTTGATAGCCATTAAAAGTGGACGCTTTTTAAAACGAATCCGAAGTTTTGTTCTAACCATTTTATTTGAAAAGCTATCTTGCTACAGCAGGTTTTTACAGGGGAATTTTATTTTTTTTTAAAGTATAATAATTTTGTTGTGCAGATCTGTTGGAAAGTGGTGTAACTTTGGTTTACCCTGTGAATTTTCTATATGAATGAAAAGTGGAAAAAAATGTGTTCAAAAGAGTGATCAGGAGCCTGCTTTTAAGTCATGCAGTGTGGGTTAGAGCACAGCAATAGTTCCTTGATCATAGAATCACAAGGTTGGAAACGACCTGCAAGATCATCTAGTCCAATCGTCCTCCCATTACCACTGCTACCACAAGCCTCTAAACCATATCTCATAGCTCCTTGATGCTGAATTGTACATTTGCACTGATCCATGTTCAGGCTCTCACAAGGAGACATTTCCATGATGGAATCCTGACCTGAAGAAAAACTGAATCTCTCACTCTAAAGTGGTCAAAATGTGAAACTAGCAAATCAAATAGAAACTGGTAAGTGAATCTGATGAGTGCCAGAAGATTTTGGTAATATCAGACATTATCAGCAAAACTGCAGTTAAGATGCAGATATCTCTGTTTTTAGAGTAAAGTTTAGCCTTCACTTAGCAAAAGAAATTATTGAAACTTTACTAATGTCTTGCTGCAAAAGCGGAACATCTTCACATGGTGCAGAGAAGCAGTGAGTAAGATGTGTAGGGAATCTACAAAGTGTCTTCCTGAAATCAGTTTTAAAATTGTTATCAGTAGTATCCTTTTCTTTAAAGATAAAAACTTGAATAAATGAGTGCTTTCTGATACTTCCCACATTTTTAATGTTACAGATTAAAAACATATTTTGCACTTCTCATGGCAGTTTTTGAAAGCTGTTAAGCTTTATTCAGAGTTATTACATAAGCATAATATACTTTTTCAGTAGCTTGCAAATATTTTAAATAATACAGTTCAAAACACGGAGAAATGATGAACTGAAATTAGCTGGTAGGTTGTTTGTGTTAGCTGTTGTATTTTCACAATTACTGAGACTTAAATGCGGAAAATGGAGCAGTGTCCTAGGTACCTAAGCCATTTAAGATTGCAAGGGCTTCAGGCTATTTGTTTGCCCTTAAAACTAAATGAATTGATGAAGTCTTGTTCCTACTGAAAGTAGTTGGGAAAGTGAATCTGTGGAGCCAGGACTCTCCATAATTTCTGATGATGGAGATGGCTTTTCTTGTATGCACAGGCACAGATCAGTTCTGTTCCTATTGATGTGAAGTCATTCTTGTGCATAGCAGAGACCTGCTCAGGCCCTTGATTTTTAATTTTGTGCTTGCCTAGTTTGTTGCAGATCACCAGTATCATCTCTTGTTCTTCCTGTTACTTGTGCCTGGTGTAGAAATAACTATGTACATTGCTGGCTGTTGTATGTGCTTTGCTTAAAAATTCACACGCTAATAGCTAAGGAGTATTTAAATATGCATATCTCAGAAATTCTTTAGGAAGCAATGACAGCCTTCTCTAAATGAGGTGGGTATTACTGAGATTGATATATAATGTGCAGGAGAGAAAGGGAAGGCAGCGAGGACTATGGCTTTCTATTCAACATCTTGCTCATCCGTGTTGACATTTCCCAGTGCTGGAAGCTCCCTTTCAGGTAGCAACCCATACTCGTTTAGGAAAGATTCCACATCCACAGCAAAGAATTCCTCATTGAATTGTTCAGAAACGCTGATGAAATTGCTCAGAAGCTCTCCGCCCTTATAGATGAGCAGAGTGGGAAGCACTTCGTCTGAGAAGCGATCTCCAGCCCCAGTATTAGAAGCTTTGATCTTGCAGAACTTCACAGTAGTGTACTCAGCAGCAAGGCAGGTTAAGCTGCTGTTCAGAGCATCACAGCCCTTGACGCCGTCTTCATAAATGTGAACAATGACAGTGGTAGTTTTATGTTCTTTTTCAATGGCTTCCAGGAACTGTTCTCCATTTTGCAGCTCACACAGATAGCCATATTTAGGCCCGAAACTCAGCCTTTGGTGCATATCTTGCATGCAGCGCTTACGGTATTTTTGTAGGCAACTTTCATCTTCTTTCTCATCATTTATTAATTCATACTCCTGCATACTCATCTGTGAATATTGAGAGAATACTGTATGAGTAAGTGGTTGTTTATTGATAGCCAAACAGAAAGATAAGAAGTTGCTATCTAAAGAACACTGCATAGAAAGCTTAGCTAGAAGAACAACTTCCTACAGTTTCTTTCATGGCTTCTGAAGAGATAGGTATGAAGATCCCATCCCATGACTTTTAAGCATATTACAAACTTTTAGTTGCCCTAACCAAAGATAGAGTATTAAAGCAGGGATTGGAGAAAGAAGGGTCAAGCTCTCAGAGTCGTGTGACTGCTGTGAAGTGTACTGCTTATTTTACAGAGCTTAAAACCTTCTGGAGAGAGAGAGGGCTATATAAATGGTTGGGTCTGTGTTTTAGGTCAAATGCTGCTGTTCTCTTGGCAAGTCAGTCTTTTCTCTTTGAATATGGTCTTATTCCTCAGTGGCACTATGTATGTGCATGCCACTTTGTGACCGTGGTATGGTTTGTGGCCAAGAGGATGCTTCGTATTATATTTACAGTATAAATACAAAGTAAAGTTACTGTCAGTAATTCTGATTTGTTTGTCTGATATGACCTCTGCTAAGCTGCAGAGGAATTAAGGCTGACGATTTCAGGATTTTCTTGTTTATGGCATTGTGTGTTTTATATAGAATCAAAATGTTTTTTGTTGGTTTTTTTTTTGTTTTGTTTTGTTTTCTCTTACCTTACGGCAGAATCTCTCTCTGGTATCTTTATCATCTTTACTGAAGGACCTGTGTGGTGAAGACATTTGTCTAAGAATTTCTTTCTTGCTCAAGGGTAAGGAGTCTTTATCTTCACTTTCTAATTTAAACTTTCTCCAGTCATTGATCACACCTTTGGGCCCTAAGAGAGAAGTTGTTAGATGAGAAACTGGTGGCAACAAAAAGCTTCCTTAAGTTTGCCCTCTATTCGCTTGCCTACCTATGCTGCAGTTTATCCACCCCTTTTCCCTTCAGAATACTCTCCAGGAGGGCTGAGAATCTGAGCGTTACAATCAGTGTATTCATTAGCCTCCAGAAGAGGTGATCTAGTTTATATCATTATCATAAATATTTTAGTGATCTACATGAATAGTTAACTAGGATGAGGTTGTGGAAATTTTTTAAAACTGATACCTTGGCCAAAGCCAGAGCTTCATAAATGTGCATTTGCCTTTCCTTATGGACAGGGTCTGAATGCATACCAGGCACAAGGAATTGGTATTCAGTGTAAAAGTGAGATCCTGGAGCCCTCAAGATTTTGTTTATTTTTAAGTCCATGTATATTCCACTGAAAGTGTAACCTGTAAGGCAGTGGTCTAGTAACTCTCATGGTAATGCAGATCTTGCTCTTTGGAACTGGTTAATTGAATTGGTTAAATTTTGGAGTGGAGAGGGGAAAAGAAGACATTCATTTCAAAATTCCTATGTTGTTTTGTCAAAGCAAAACACTTAAATTTGCACCATAAAGTAAAACCAAGGAATATTTGAATGTTTTCAGAGATCAAGTTTACTTCTGTGGAAATTCAGGAGCGGCTAGTTAAGCTCTCCCACTCATGAGAGAGAGTAGTGTTGCCAGTTGCTAAGAGTCTGTTTTGGATTAGATTTTGATATCTTGAAAGGCAGCTAAAAGCAGTACACCCCCTAGATGGAAAGGAAAGATGAACTATCTTTTGCAAACAAGATTCCAAGACAGGAATTAACCTGTAAGTCTTGGCATAGTGATAACGCTTTAAGTATACAGTGACTTGATTTTAAAAATTATTTAGAAGCCTAAGTGTTGATATAGTACCCTACATTTGACTCTGAAAAATGCCAACTTAGCCAACAGCAGCAAGGCTTCTTGGGAAAGAACCCTAAAAAACAGTTATTACAAGAGCTACAAGAGTTATTACAGCACAAGAAAAGAAGCCTTCAGAGGAGCACAGAGAGGAATGCTTGTCTTAAAGCATATATAGTTACCTGTTAGGGAGATAGGATGCAGTGATACCTGTCCGTAGAATTGAGTGCAGTGTCAGTACTCATGAAAAGGATTAGTGATCGAGCGCTGGATTAAAAAGAATTGTGATTCCAAGCAAGAATGCCTTTAAAGCTTTTAAATGCTATGCTGTGTTTGCCAAAAGAATCTATAGATGCAATTTCAGCACTGAATGTTCCTTCCAAAAGAAGGAAAAAATAATTCAGCCTTTATTGTGGAACCTTGTAATCTTGTTTTTTTTTCCCCCAAAAAGAAGAATGGCAGTTTGTTTGTCACTGAAACAATAAAACAACAAGATCTGCATTGGGCAATTGCTGTTGGAGGCTTTTTCAAGTGTCTGCATTTGTCATTTGTTTGAGATGTGAGGATGACTGTCACAGAAATTGGTTTGGTATTACCTGCCTTCCCATGAGAGCTGTCACTTAATCCAAAATATATTCTCAATGGATTTGGAGCCTACATTTCTGTTCAAGGACTTCAGCATCCCAGTTAGTGTAGATGGACTCTAGGCTTCCTTAGTGATCAGAGGAAGTTTTGCTTATTTTTAGAAAACAAGTATAGTCAGTTTTCTTGCCTGTGTGTGTTGCTTGTCCTTCGAAATCTTCTTCCAAACTGGTGTTTGCATTTTCTTCCATGTTGGTGACTGGAGTAGAAGATGCTGCAGGTTCAAAAAAAAACAAAAACAAAAACAAACAAAAAAAAAAAAAAACAGGATAGAAAAGGGATATGTTTACAGGAGGATGGCACGTGATGTATGGTTTCCTGTAGCAGTTAGGTGTCAGTGAAGGTCAGAATACACATAGCTGTAGAGTTTATTATGCTGTAAAAAGCAACTGGGATGATATGTCAATCTCTTCTAAAAGATCTATGAACAAACACTGAGAATGCCTAGGCTGCTGATTCATAGTCATCATAGGATATTCAGAGCATAGTCTGTATATAGCACAGACTTGCTTGTAAACTTTTCTGCAATGGGACTCTCTTCCCCTTGAAAGTGGAAACCTATTAATTATCCATTCTGCCAATGTCTTCATTTTTAAGGATTGCCTGAACTGCTCATTTCTCATACAGAGCACGCAGCTAAGTACTTGTACCTGTTGGGCAATGGACTTCAGAATATCGTGGAGTTAGACTGTTTGTACTGGCTCATCTGAGTTTTTAAGGAACAGAAATTATTATATAAATTGTTTTCTTCTACCTGTTCTATAGAACAAACCCAAGAGCAAGGCACCAACCATAGAATACAGTGATACAGCAGTGCCCAAGCTGTACCCTTTTTTGAGGAGTGAAGTAGAACCACTGCTCTTTAAGGGAAGAGAGAGGTTTCTGTGTGTGAAGAATTCAGAAGATGAGTTTTGGGTACTGCCAGAGCATTACAGAGCAGCAGGATTTGACGAGACCATTTGGTCTCATCTGGTCAAGGTGGTGTTTGCTGTTTCCTGATAATCACAATTAATGTTCTTGGGGTCGTGCAGCTTCCACAAGCAGATCAATTTTCTGTGTCAGAAGGTTAAAAACGGTTTCATTTGTAGTTGAAAACTGTAATTTGTCACTGAACACTGAACAGATGTCACTGTTCACAGGAATCTTAAGGCAGACAATTTGAGTATTCCCATTTAGTCTAGACCAGGTCTATTAAGTTTTAACTGTTCATGTGTTAAGGTAGAATCTTAAAGCAAATCATAAATTCTTGGCCACACAGCCAAGAATGGCATATTTGAAAGCTGCTGATGAGTTAGACCTGAATGGCTTCAGTGTGTTTCCAGTGTGCACAAGAGGATATACACCTTTTTTTTTTACCAATTAGCGCCAAAGGACAAAGTGGAATGGTGGCTGAGCAAGACACGAGGGATCTGATTCTCAGGTGCATTGGGATTAATTCTAATTAGTAATTCTAATTAGTAAATGTGAGTATAAGTCTATCCACACATATGTTGCTGGTGATTAATCAAAACAATCAAAATTATTTTGGGATGAAAGTATATAAGAAACCAGTAGAAATTCTTTATGTAGGTATATCATAGGTATATACCTATGTAGGTATATCTTTATGTAGGTATATCTATCTAGGTATACCCAGGAGGGGAGTAAACTCTTCAAAAGGGCTGACAACAGCAGGACTAGGGGAAATGGATCCAAGTTGAAGGAGGGAAGATTTAGGTTGGATGTTAGGGGGAAGTTCTTTACAAGGAGAGTGATTAGGCCCTGGAACGGGCTGCCCAGGGAGGTTGTGGATGCCCCGTCCTTGGACGTGTTTAAGGCCAGGTTGGACGGGGTCCTGGGCAACCTGATCTGAATGTGTATGTTTGGTGGCCCTGCTAGGCAGGGGGGTTGGAAATACATGATCCTTGAGGTCCCTTCCAGCCCGGGTGATTCTATGATTCTATGATTCTATGATAATCTGTAGGTAGGTCTTTGTGCATAAATCCTGTTACTGGACCCAATTTTCTTTCATAAAACCACAGAATCATAAAATCACTCAGGTTGGAAAAGACCTTAAAGATTGTCAAGTCCAACCACAACCTAACCATCCTACCCTAACTCCATCAACTCTCTGCTAATTCATGTCCCTGAGCACCACATCAAAATGGCTTTTAAACACATCCAGGGATGGTGACTCAACCACCTCCCTGGGGAGCCTATTTCAGTGCTTAACAACCCTTTCTGTGAAGAAGCATTTCCTGATATCCAACTTAAACTTCCCCTGGTGCAACTTTAAGCCCTTTTCCCTTGTGCTGTCACCTGTCACCAGTGAGAAGACAACCAGCCCCGCTCTGCTGTAAGCACCTTTCAGATATTGGAAGAGAGCAATAAGGTCTCCCCTCAGCCTCCTCCCCAGACTGAACAGCCCCAGTTCCTCCAATCTCTCCTCATAGGCCATATTCTCCAAGCCCTTCACAAGCCTTGTATGCCCTTCTTTGGACCTGCTCCAGCACTTCCATGTCCTTTCTGTACTGAGTTGCCCAAAACTGAACGCAGTACTCAACTTTCAGTTGATTTTGAATAGAAATATGAAGCTAATCCCTTCTCACATGCAAAACGGAAACTCCTTCCTATGTCAGTAATATACAGCTTTGTGGGCATGCTAGCTCAAAGCCTTGGAAGTCCATCTCAACTCTTACACTGATATCTACAGGAAGCTGTACTGTGTGCTGATGCTGAGGAGATTTTTTCTTCTATGAGGAAAGAGAGGGTTTGATGGTGGAAACTGATTGCCTAATAAATGAAAGCTCTCTTTAAAACATACATCGGTGATCTGTTGTGCCTAATAAAGCTGAAAAGATTAGATGAATAATAGCAACACAAAGTTGCATTTCACCACTCTATTGAAGAGACATGAGGCAATGATCCTAGCAATATGCGGGCTGGTAAGCTGACCACAAGCCTGGGAGATGGGGACTCCTAAAATTCTACTTCACAGCCTTCTACTGAGTCAGACTATGAGCCTGGAGCAAGTCATGCAAATTATTCTTCTTTCCTCTCAATGAAGTTATAAATATTTATAGTTTTTAGCTTGATGTGGCAAGAATCAGGCTGTCCAAGCCAGGTGTTTCCCAGTTAGGCACCCGAGGACACACACATTTGAACATGTAACTGCAAGGAGATCCATGGGAAGCTGCATTATTGGATCAGTTGTATCTTCTGTAATACATACTCTTCCTTCCAAAATAGCAATCACGAGGGTAGGGAATTCTCCTGTGTCTTAGTGAAGTACTCAGATGTGTTCTTTGTTGGTGGTGGTTTGTTCTGTTTTGTTGGATTTTTTTTGGGGGGGGAGAGGTCCTTGAGGGGTCTGAGCATGCTGTATTTCCTAAGTTAAAAATAGGTTCCTAATATTTGGATAAATATGAGGATGCTGGTAGCTGAGTTCTGCCAGCTGTAAAGCACGTTCTGCAAGTGCCTCTGGTTAGAAATATGCCCAGCCATTACCTGTACAAATTTTTAAGATTGAGGGCAGCAGGATGCTGAGATAGTAAAGCAAACAGTGTAAATCCACATGGACGGACCAGAACATTTGTGTTCACTTTCCCAGCTGTCTGTGAATCCCAATTAGTTGACTGACTGTGCTGTTTTTCAGGAATTTAAGGTCATGTGTTAACACAGTCCTCATAAACCTGAATTGACCCTACCACCTGGTGGATGGCAGAGCTGGAAGGCAGTGGTTAGTTGCATGGAATTGTGCAGGTGAGAATTATATGATCAGTGGGGAGTTCCTGCCTTGTGCCTGTGCACAGTGGCAAAGCTGCTGTTCACATCTCTCCAGAGCGCCCTGCAACAGTAATTCTCCAAGCTTTTCAGTGATTACACAGGTGTGATCTCTTTTGAGCAGAAGCTGGCAATCATAGTAATACTGAGTAGCTTTGTACTTGGGATATAAAGACTGTAAACTCAATTTCACTTATCTTCTATTACTGTTTTTAGAGTGATTGCTCCTGTAAGCCTACAGAATTACTGAGCTTCTCTACTTGTATATTTCTTATTTTTGGGTCACGAGGTCACTGGAACCTATTAGAACTAGGAATTGTCACAATATAGCCCGTTAATTTCAGTATCGTGTGTTTGATGGAGGCTGCTGTGAAGGGCATCAAAGCCACACATGTGAAAACGTGTTCATAAGATGGTTATAGGTAATACATAAAAATAATATAAAAATAAAATTGCCTATGAACTATGAAATTTACTGGACTTGTGGAAATGGAAGGATGAAAAGTAAATGGTGTCCTCTAAAAGATATTTGTCAATGAGATGTAATTCCATGTTTATATTTTGAGCTATGTGTGATGGTTGGTTAGCCAGCATGTGCATCCCAGGTGTCAGGTGAGGCTCTTGCCTCGTGAAAAAATTCTTCAACCGCACTTCCCTGTATCCAAGTGAACTTATCAGGCGAATGGGCACCTGATAAGCAAGCCAAGAGAAGTAGGTCTAGACTTAAATGCTCAAGTTGAATTTAGAAGAAACAAAATGATATATTCTGAATAATATCTTAAAAACTGTAGTCTGCACACTATTTCAAATAGACTGGCAGTAGTACCATAGCAACTCTATAGAATTTTGTGACTTCAGTTTCTTATGTCAATATGCATTTTCCTGTAGGTGTTCACCTTTTTGTGGTCTTTGTCCATGACAAAACAGTAGAAATACAGAGACAGAAGTGAAAATCTTGTATTGTGAGATCTGAAGGACTCTGGTCTCATTACATTCTGTGCAATCCAATAGTGAGATCTGAACTTCCTCTTCTAAACTGTGTTCAAATGTTGCTCCCAGACAGTTTCTAGGAAAGATCCTGACTGTAACTGGAACACTGCATCATCTCCATCATGTAGGCAGTGGTAATTTTCCAGTATAGCAGAACCAAGAGCCTTCCACATGTGAAACTGTACCTGCTGTTGGGACTGGAGGCAGCAGGTGCCTTTCTGTGCTAGCAATAGTGACAGATTCCTAAAGAGACTAATCCAGCTCACCAATGTCATTGAAGCTTTCACAGTAAGTGCATTTTGTGTGCACTGCAGGGTGTGATCTGCAGCATGAAATACACACTGTGTGTTTGAGGTTATACTTCCGCAGTTTGGTTAGTTAGGATGCATGTGCTTTAGCCCTGGACATAATCCACTTATTGCTACTATAGTTACTATAC